TCAAAGCTAATGGCCCCAGGGATACAGCCATCAAAAAAAGGAAAGGGCCCTAGCCGGTTTGGCTCAGTGGATAGAGCCTCAGCCTGCAGACAGAAGGGTCCTGGGTTTAATTCCAGTCAAGGGCACATGCCCCCGTTACGGGCTCAATCCCCAGTAGGGGGCGTGCAGGAGGCAGACAATCAATGATTCTCTCTCATCATTGATGTTTCTATCTCTCTCTCCCCCTCTCCCTTCCTCTCTGAAATCAATAAAAATATATTTTTTTAAAAGAAGAAGGAAAGGTACCACAGTATCTGAGTTGTGATTGCCACTTGGCATGTGACTATTAAATGCTATTCCTGTCCCTGGCACTCACTGTGTGTTGAGCAGGGAAATGACAGTAAAGAAGGCACACATCTAGGGGGAGTTGCCAATCACCAGGGGATATTCTAAGTACACTGGGGCAGGGAGGGGGGCATAGGGTGCTCCTATTCATGGGAGGTGGGAGGAAAGACCAGGGAAGGCTGGTCAGAAGCACCATCTTAACCCAAGTGAAGATGGGGGAGAGGGCCGGCCCAGTGGCTCTGGTCTCCCTCCCAGGGCATCATAGTGAGGACAGGAGGGACTATTGATTTGCTGCCTCTGCTCATCTGACCTGGCTTGCCTTGAGCCCTCCTGACCAGCCTGTGAAACTCCTCATGAGTCTTAAAAACCAAGCTCAGAACTTCCTCTTCCAGGAATCCCCATCTCTGGGTTTCCCCTCTGCCTGGAACAGGAGAGGATGTCATTATTTCTTTGTTACCTCTTTGTCTGTCTCCCCCCCCCCCCACCCCCCCACACACACACACACTAAACTCTGAGCTCTAGAAAACCAAAGAATTATGCTAGTCCTGCTCTGGCATCTCAGCTCTTAGCAGTCTGGTTCAGGTCAAGGGTATCAATGAAAACACATTGGCTCAACTGTGACCTCAGACAAATTCTCTTGTCTGGTTGTACTTCCTTTTTTTTCCCATCTGTGACACTGAAGAATTGAATAGGTGATTTTTCTAACTTGTGAACTAGGTGCTCAGTTCTCCTCATACTCAGGATTATGTGTGTGCATGTGCATACGTACATACACACACACACACACACACACACACACACATGCACCTGCACATATATATGCTGTGATTAGAGGGAGGATGAAGAGGGTTTGGTTTCTTTGAAAAAGTGTATGCTTCAGCAAACCCCATAACGTCCTGGTGTGTGTGTGGGAGGGGTGCTTAGGGAGTTGCCAGGCCTCCTTCAAGGTCACCCTGGGACTGAGCAGGCATCTGAGCCAGGGGTAAACTCATTTGGATTACCTGTTTTGCATCATTTTTACCTCCACACCCAGCATAATGGCTTTCAGGCTTTAGGGCTTTTGTTATTTGTTTTTAAGTACCAAACACCTGTGTATCCCTTAATGCTCAGAATTGAAAATCACCATATTGTCATAGTAGTTTTGAGTAATTTCAATTAGAATTAGAATATTACAGATAGAGTTAAAGGTCCTTTTATTCCCCATCATCTTCAGTGCTATTAAAGTTCATTTATTGCCCTGGCTGGTGTGGCTCAGTTGGTTAGGCATCATCCTGTGCACCAAAAGGTTGCTGGTTTGGTTCCCAGTCAAGGCACATGCCCAGGTTGCTAGCTCCATCCCTGGTATAGAGTGTGCAGGAGGCAGCCGATTGATGTTCCTCTCTCTCCCCACTCCCTTCCTCTATCTATCTAAAAATCAATTAAAAATAGTTAACAGTGCCTGGCCATCATGGCTCAGTGGTTGAGTGCTGACCTCTGGACCAGGAAGTCACGGTTCGATTCCCAGTCAGGGCACATGCCTGTGTTGCAGGCTCGATCCCCAGTGTGGGGCCAATCAGTGATTCTCTCACATCATTAATGTTTCTATCTCTCTCCCTCTCCCTTCCTCTCTGAAATCAATAAAAATATATTTTAAAGAAATATTTAATAACAAGACAGTTCATTAATGTTATGTACATTTTATCACAATAAAAACTTAGAAACAAACAAATAGTTCATTTAATCAGAGTTTGGGCACAGCTGGATATCCCACCTTTGTAGCCAAAGATGTATGTTCTCCTCTTCTTGAACTCCACCCTCAAGGCTTTGCCGAGGCCCTTAACTCATCCCTCACGCCCACACCAGTCCATCATCCAGCAGTGTTGCTTCACTTCCTGATCTTGTCCCCAATCCTCTGCTGTCCCCATCCTGAGCCACACCAAGACAACTGCAAAAGGCTTCTCAGGGCCCCTCCCTGCTTTCCTCTTAGGTCTCCAGTAGTCCGTTTAGAGTGATCCTTTCAAGAGCCCTTGTCCCTGCCCCCTGCTCAAAGCTTTCCATCACACTTGGAATAAAACCCAGCAGAGCCTGCCATGTCTCCACTGTCTGGAGCCTTTTCCCCACATGGCCGCATGACTATCCCTTACACTTCATTTAGGTCTTTCTCTCTTTTCTCCCCTAATATCATTACATGGATTATTTTCTTCATTGTGTTCTAATCAGTTCATTCTTTTGAACACTCACCTGGTCACAGCATTGCACAGGACAAGGAACCCTTCCACTCAGTGCCTGTGTCCTTTTCGTTCTCCTAGGGGCCAGCCTGGTCCCCTTCCATGGGCACTAGGCTTGTTCCCTGCCCCTGGGGTGCCATTGTTGGCCTTAGACTATGTCCCACCAAGGACATAAGAGCACTGGGGACAAAAGTATTTGAAATCATTTTTTCCTGTGGTATGTCATCAATTTGATATAATTATTAGTTTCTGTTTCTATACAGTGTCATGATGTTTTGTTACCTTTTGTTTTCATTTTATTTGGCGTTATGTAAACTTTTACCTGATTCAGAAGTTGAAATTATGCTGTGGCATACCCAGAGAGGCCTCGGCTGTTCTATTAGTTTCTGCTGTGTGCTTCCTAAAGTCCCCTTCTATCTCACACAAAAGGCAGCCTGCGGTATACATTTTTTACCTTACAGTAGATTCTAGGGATCACTCTCCCGTGGTTTGGGGCACTCTCCATGGTGCGGGCCTGCTGTCATCTAGTCAGCAGGTCCCTGGTGACGGCTGTCTGAGTTGTCCACAGTCCCGGGCTAGTAAAAACAATGCTGTTGTAAATAACATCATCCTCTGTTGTTTTGACTTTCTGAAGGTGTCTCTTCAGGGTAGATTTCTAGAAGGGATTGCGTCAACACCCTTGATTG